TCTGCTCCTCTCTCTCCTCTGCCGGCTCGTGCTGCAGGACTGCATCAAGAAAAAATAAAAAACCTTGTCGTGCGCTGGCACTACCTCTGCTCTACTGAAAGAAACCCCCCACAACATCCCTTCTTTTGCAACACAAGGCAAACGAAGCACCGCCATGGGTTTCTGTCCACTTTATTCATGAAGGACGGTAAGAAATGACTTTTAAACAAATATGAATGACTTCTTATAATCTGCATCTGCTTTCCCGCATAAGATCCAGACTGAACGAGTCATTTTTTCAAAAGTTTAGTTTATATCCCTTTTAAATGTTTTAGTTAGAAGTTTGTTGTTTCCTGTGATTTTCATGACTTCTTTAAAGTGACTGCTGATGCAGAAGTGACAAATCCTGAAGGAGACGCACAAAACCAGTTCAGGACTCTTTCAATCCAAAACGCGTTTTCACACGATCTTTTGCATTTAAATGTCTGGTTCGAGTTCTTTTTTTTTTTAATCAAAAGAAGCATGTTATGCTGAATGTGTTTGCGTTGTGCCTGCCAGCCGCCCCGGGGCTGTTGGAGCACTCCAACAAGCAGCAGAGAGGCTGCGGGAGCGCAGCTGAGGCTCCTGACTCATCCATGGAGAGAGCGACTGATGTGCACGCGCACAGCCGCTCAACTGGAAATCTGTGGGAAAAAGTGCTTTGTTTGCAATCCCAAGGCTGCTGCTCTAACCCAGGGGTTAACACTGGAAGGAGCACTTAATAAAGAAAAATAAATGTTCAGGTGAAGTGACTGTTGTGAAAAAGGCTAAAATAAAAATAAAAGCACAGAATGGAATGATTTGTAAATCTGATAAACCTGCATTTTATTTGCAATGAAACAAGGTAAGTATAGGAAATGGCTACACTAAGAAATTGTACTTTTTTCTTAGGAAAAATTGAATTATTTGAGGGCAGCAAGACATTAAAAAAGTGGACGCAGGTCCATGTTCTCCACTGCGAAACATCTCTTTTTTCTGAGACCAGTTTGTGAACATTTTGGAGGAGATTGTTGTTTGGTGTGGTGGTCCATTGTGTTTCATATCTTCTGCATTGTGCCAGCGGTGAAGAAGAGACGACTCTGAACCCAGAAAATCAAACAAACATCTGTTTGAAGGAATAAACACAAGATACAACTCACTTAGCGTGAGGGTTTGATTAGATATGAGACCTTTCCAATATTCTGATTTGAATTCTTTATTATTGCCTGTTGTCATAAGGCTCAAGCAGGCATTAGTGTGTTTGTTATAACATTCCCAAAATATTTTATGAACCACAGGAAACATTTTAATGACATTTGCAATAATTAATCATTGGTTATACTTCTACAACTAGTTAGCCTCTGGAGTCAACATGATTAGGAGGGCTGCAACAGCCATCTCATATTAGAATGCACAAAATGGCTATAATTCATGTCATTTTACAGATATTGTGCTAAAATTGTGTTGTTTTAGTTGAGTCACTCCCAACATAGTCTCCAAATGCTACTCATTGTGCAAGATCTTTGCTTAAAACTTTACTTTTATTGTTGGAGTCAACCTGTGTCAAATATCTCATGAACTATTAAACATTACTGTTAAACATTTCTGAAGGTAATTGTTAGATCTGCATCTACTGATTAATTTTTGGTGTCAATCCAATTCAAGATGGCTGACACAATTAATCAACATTAGCCAACACAAAAATGGCTCTAACTCAGTCCGTTTTGGATATCTAAAGAGTCATGCGAAGGCCAAGAGTTTTAAACCATTCTTACCAAACCAGGTTATTTATTAAGGCTTTTTACAATTTTCTTCCATTGACTCAGAGTAGAAAAAATAGTGACCAACAAGCCACAGTTCTAAAAATATTTTTGAGATGACCTTCAGAAAGCCTGAATAAACATTGATCAAGTCCATTTTTCCAGATGTCAAGAATGCGTGACTTACTGGATGAGGCAAACTGAAGAGTTTTGTGCAGCATTGTGTATTCTTACATCATCGTTTTATTCTCTAACCTGGCTCCACTCTTTCTCCTCCTCCTCGGAGTCAGTAATGGCATCAGCGGTTGGTGAAATCTCTTAACTCAGACATCTCAGATGAGGTCACAGACTTGCAGGTTTGATGGGATTACATGTGGCTCTGCCCACTCAGGTAATGGACCTGCCTTTAATGCTAATAGAGCAAATTACCCATCATGCCATGGGGCTTATAAATGTCTTTGAAAAGAGAGGACAGTGAGATGTCAAATCTGACTGAGGTTTCAGGAAGAGGGGTTATTAATGAGGCATCAACTATAAAATTTAAACTAATAAGTTAAGCGATTCTAACTTTTATTGCTCAAGAATAGTTACAATACCAAAGAACAACAAAGATACTAGTAATCTCATGAACTTCTAAAGGCCTACCATTCCTTAAAGGAGTGCATATCACACACTGCCTTTCATGCCAAGGATTTAGACTAACATCGTTTTTACTAATTTGGTGGTGGCCATCTTGACTTTTGTTGGTTCTGAATGCTGTAAATAATTAATTAATAACCAGTGGTCAATTTCTGAACATTTCAATGAACTCTTTTCAGTGGTCCATGAGATAATTTGCTAAAACTTAATTGGTTTGAACAGATAATGCTAAGCATTTAGGCAAAGATGTTGCACATTGTGTAAAGTATGTGTTGAAGAGGATTTCCATCTACTGCCACACCTAATTTTAACTCTGTACAACTGTAAATGACTGGGTTATAGATATTTTACTGTTTCTTGGTGTTATTTGGCTGTGATGGCCACGCTGAATTTGGACTTCAAATGTTAATGAGTTGTAGATGTTCATCCAGTGATTACTTTCATGGGAGGTTCATTAAAATTTGCCCTGTGGTTCATGAGATATTTTACTAATGCTACACATTATTGCTGCTTCGCCTTTGGTGACTTGTATTAATTCATTTATTAACTGATAAAATCTACAATAAATGCTGGATTGATGGGGCAGGAATAACAAAACACGGAGTAAAAAATGAAGGAGTGATTGCTCTGTTTGACAGGTTTTGTCGTGTCTGAGTCTGATTGTGAGTGCTCCCGCTGCTCAGGCTGTCTGTGATGTTGGGGTCTCGTCATCTGCGATCAGGTGAGGTGAGGTCGCCTCTGTGACGTCTAAGCTTCATCACCGCTCACAGCGTTCCTCACCGTGCAGTTCGCTGCTCCTCTGACAGACATCAGGATCTGGATTCTTATTCTAAATGGTACCAGTTCAGAGACGCTCACCACTCAGGATTTGTGCGGACAGAAGCATTAAAAAATATCCACAAAATAAAAAAAATACATTATTCATAGCTCAGGAGATTTTTTTTTTTAACATTCTGTTTCTATTTTGATTATTTCACGTGTTTTTTCTGTATAATTAGAACATGCTACTGGATGCATCTATCTATCTATCTATCTATCTATCTATCTATCTATCTATCTATCTATCTATCTATCTATCTATCTATCTATCTATCTATCTATCTATCTATCTATCTATCTATCTATCTATCTATCTATCTATCTATCTATCTATCTATCTATCTATCTATCTATCTATCTATCTGTCT